CGTGTCCCTGTATCCCTGTATCCCTGCATCCCTGTATCCCTCCATCCCCGTGTCCCTATATCCCTTCATCCCCGTGTCCCTGTATCCCTCCATCCCCGTGTCCCTGTATCCCTCCATCCCCGTGTCCCTATATCCCTCCATCCCTGTATCCCTCTATCCCCGTGTCCCTGTATCCCTCCATCCCCGTGTCCCTGTATCCCTGCATCCCCGTGTCCCTGTATCCCTCCATCCCCGTGTCCCTGTATTCCTGTATCCCTCCATCCCTGTATCCCTCTATCCCCGTGTCCCTGTATCCCTCCATCCCCGTGTCCCTGTATCCCTCCATCCCCGTGTCCCTGTATCCCTTCATCCCCGTGTCCCTATATCCCTCCATCCCCGTATCCCTATATCCCTCCATCCCCGTGTCCCTGTATCCCTCCATCCCCGTATCCCTATATCCCTCCATCCCCGTATCCCTATATCCCTGTATCCCTATATCCCCGTGTCCCTGTATCCCTATATCCCCGTGTCCCTGTATCCCTATATCCCCGTATCCCCGTATCCCTCCAGCCCCGTGTCCCTCCAGCCCTGTATCCCTCCAGCCCCGTGTCCGTGCCTTCCCGCCGCCCTCTGAGGGCTCTCTGCACACGGCCCCGCCCAAGGGCAGCGGCTCCGCCCCTCCCCTCCCCTCGCGGCCCCGCCCCCCCGTCTCCAGGCGCCGCCGCCAAGCGCGGAAGCGTCGTGCGCGCGGGGCCGGCCGGCGCTGTCGGCGGGCGCTTTACGGCCGCGCTTGGCGGCGGCGGAGCGGGAGCGGCCCGGGCGGGCGGTGAGTGGGGCGGAGCGGGGAGACCCCGGCCCGGAGCCGGGACGGGCCCTGCCCGAGTCCCCGGGGGCACCGGGGCGGCCCGCGCGGGCGGCTGCGGGGGCGGCGAGGCGCGGCCCGGGCGCCGCGCGTGCCTTTGTTCGCGCCCCCCCCCCAACCCCCCCCTCCTCCCCTCGCTCCGCGCTCCCCGCCGAGCGCGGCCCCCTCGCCTTCCCCCTTTCCCCCCTTTCCCCGTGTCCTCTGCTCGGCCTGGCGCCCCCCGCCGCCGCCTCCTCCTCCTCCCCGGTGAGTTTGTGTCGGTCTCTCCCGCAGGACATGGCCGAGGTTCCGCCGGGGCCTAGCAGCGTCCTGTCCCCGCAGGGGGACACGCTCTCCCCCTTCCCCGCGGGAGGAGGAGGAGGGGGCGCCGCTTCCTCCTCCTCCGCCGCCGCCACCGCCGCCTCCTATGCCGCCGCCGCCGCCGCCTGCTCCGGCGCTCAGGACGAGGAGGCCGAAGAGGAGGAGGAGGAAGAGGAGGGACCCGCGGGCGGCCGGGAGCGGGAGCAGCAGCGAGCAGGAGGAGGAGGAGGAAGCGGCGACAAGGGGGCCCCGCAGCACCGGCACCACCACCGCCACCAGCACCACCCCCCGCACCACAACCACCAGCTCAACGGCCTCATCAGCCCCGAGCTGCGGCACCTGCGGGCCTCCCTCAAGGGCAAGATCCTGGGCGCGGAGGCCGCGGCGACCCCCGAGGGGCTGGAGAACAAGCGAGCCAGCAAAACAATGGGCTCGGGACAGCAGCAGCAGCAGCCGCCCCCCCCCGCCGCCGCCCCCGCCGCTGCGCCCTGCTCGGCCCCCCACGCCAACCACCTCCCTCCCCAGGGAAGGACTGCACCCTCTCCTCCTCCTGCTGCTTCCCCCCCTGGGAAAGGGGACAGGAGCCAGCCTGCTGCCACCACCGCGACCGCCGTTGCTGCTGCTGCTAAGACTGCGGCCCGCAATGGGCTGGCGGGAGAGACTGGCTTGGAGGAGGAAGAGCAGGAGGAGGGGGATGAAGGAGGGGAGGAGGAGGAGGAGGAGTCCCTGCAGCTTCTCTCCGGGTCCTTAGCGGCTGCCTGCAGTTTGAAAGGCTCGGGAACGGACTGTCAGCCCGAGGAGGACCTAACGATACGATACGTCCAGTACGAGTCAGAGCTGCAGATGCCCGATATCATGAGACTGATCACCAAAGATCTGTCTGAACCCTACTCCATTTACACTTATAGGTATTTTATCCACAACTGGCCACAACTTTGCTTTTTGGTAAGTGCCCGAGGGGAGGGGAGGGGGCGGCAGGGAGGGCAAGGAGCTGGGAGTGGTTTGGGGCTGGGGAGGGAGAGGATGGAAGGGTTTGTGGAAATACTTTTAATAATCTCTTTGTGGATGAGATCGAGCTGTTGTGGAAGTACCTGTCCCCCGGTGACCTGTGCATGTGTAAGTAAAGCAATGCCCCAAGTTCCTTCGTTTGTTAACACGTGTTTTAAGCGGTGAGGAAAGGGTTTGAGCACGGGGCCGGGATCCAGAAACCCAAGGCTCCTAATCGGGGGTTTTGACATTGACTTTTGTGACCTTTGGTAGCTCGTTGTTATTATTCTCCCTCAGTTGCTGGGTTTGGGTTTGAAAAAGAAAGTACTTAGTCCACTAATGCCTTACAACAACTGCTTAGTAATTCTTGCACAATGGCTTTAAAACTGACTAAAGCAGGGCTGGCACATAAATGGTATGTGGTAGGTGGAGAGGAACTGTGAAAGGCTTAGCAGACTTTTTGATCTGTGAGCTTGCTTTGACAAAGACAAGTCCAGCTGTGTTGCTTTCACAGGTGTGATGGTGCTCGCAGAAATCCTCGTGTTGCCCACATTATCTCCCTACACTAACAGTCAATTTAGTTTTATATTCTGCCTGCTGCACTACTGAAAGATTGGTTTAGCTGCACCCTCCTCTCTGCCTTCCTAAATGTTTAGCACTTCTTGTGCCTCAGCTGCTTTTAGGATGATAATTCATCCACAAGGGTAAGAAAGTGAGTATAAGTTGGCCTGAGGGGTGTCTGTGCGTAGCCAGAGCTTAGCTGTGTTTGATTTACTCATTGGAACACTTAACATCTGCACAACAGAACGTTTTGGGGAGCGTGTGGCACTTCCTTGCTAAGGTAAATGATGAATTCTTAGCCCTTGATGTTTTAATCGAGGCTGGACACCTCTCTGAAAGGTCTGGTTTACCCAGGGCCAGGACACCCTCCAGCTCAGGGGTATCTCTGTGAAATTTTGATAGAATGAGTGCAGGAGGTGAGGTTAATGGGGCCCATCTGGCCCTAAACTTCCTGAATGTTCTCGGTTTAGGACCTGGTGTAATTTATAGCAGGATTCGTGTGATTTATAGGAGGATTTTCAGAGCTGTGCCTCTTGAAACCCCGCCGAGGGAACACAGTAGGATTACAGGAAGTTGAGCAAAGCATTACCTTCTGGAACACAAGAGAATATGGAAATATTGGAGAGCATTGTGGGATGCAAAGTCATGTTTGCCATTACAAGGGTGCTGAGCAGAGCACAGTGGTGCTTTTTAAGCTCTGTGTGTGACTGATTTACCTCATACTGAGAAAAAAAAAAATGCTCCCGAGCAACAAAAGTCCACACTTGGAGCATCAGGTGTATCACTGGCAACGTTGGATACTCTGAGATCACAGTGCACTTGTTTAGGTTTTAAATCATTATGGGTTTTTTTTGTCAGGGAATAACTGAAGAATTTTGTTATGAAAAGAGCAATGACAAGTTGTTTGACAGAGCACTAAAATAGATGTTTTCTAATAAGTGCATTCAAAGAATGAGATATCACTCAAGGAAGAGAAAGCGTCTTCAGCTTATTTTGTAGTGACAGCTTCATTTTTTCGACAGCCTTGAAAAACAAAACTTTTTCTGAAGTCAGTGTATTTACCATTCTTTTTGGAAAGGTGGCACAATATAGAGCACATAAAACTGTAGAGAGGAATATATGGCTTTGAATGTCTAAAGCTTGCAAATCTGCTTAATAATTGGAAGGTCTCGCAGTTTGCTGAGTCAAGTTTCATGGAGGTTTTTTTTGTGACTGGTTTTGGTGTTTTTAAGGTTTGTTTTTTAGGGGTTTTCATGAAGACTTTCTCTTCTATAGTATTTAATTTGTCCCTGCAGTTAACGGGTTCCTGAACTAAGTCCCTTTAAAATATTTATCTTCAGTCAGGGACTGCATATTCCAATTAGCAGGAGGAGTGTCGGGATGGTGAACGAGAAGCTTTAGTGCCTGATCTCACAGAATCGTTTGTCTTTAATGGCCTCACTCCCTTCTGGCTTCAGGTTTTGGTTGGGTTCTGATTGTCTTGGGAAAAGGGCTTGGCCTGTGATTTGATTGTATCTGAAAAAAGATCTGTAAGGGTTTAGTCAATTCCTTTGCTGAATTTCACCCCATCACCGTTTTTAAAGTCTCCCAGTACATCCTCACCTGTCTTCATTGTGCTCCACAGGCAGATTTCCTTTTCCCTCCCTCTGAGGGAAAAGTACAAATCCATTGAAATTGAAGATGGGATGTGTGTTTTGCAGAACTAATCAGCATTTGGCCCTTGCTGATGTTTTATGCAGTGAACCATCGTTTTCCTATCATGACAGTGCAAAACTATTTTCTGGGGGCATTATTAACTTTATTCCTGATGATTTTTATCTCCTGGGTTGGAAACTTGGGAAAGGCCAAGCCAAACCTCAGCGAGTTGCACCACTGCTTTAGTGGCTGCTGCAACCCAAGGTGCCACGTGTTTTCCTTTCTGTTCAAGCCTTTGCCAGCCCTTGTGTTCCTCTGATTTGGGGGAGCCAAGATAGCCCTCCCACCACAATGTTTTTATTAGTGTGTACATGTTTTAGGGTCATGCTCTGTGGGGGAAGGCACAGGACCAACTCTTAACAGGTCACCAATGTGCTGGATCAAACCACTTCTTAACTGTACACTCAAAGAAGTTCATATTCCACTTTAAAAGGACAGGGAGATACTGGGAATCTTAAAACCCTGTTAATTTTAGTGTCAGATTTGTCTATGTAACTTTTTTTTGACTTTAAGGGGTAGCACTGCAGCAACTGAGCTGTTGCAAGGTAATAACTTTCTCCTCTACAAATTTCTAGTGGAAGATGTCCCTGTCCATGGCAGGGAGTTGGAACTAGATGGTCTTTGAGGTGTCTCCCATCCCAAACCTTTCTGTGATTCCATGAACTGTCTGTTTACACTCAGGTTTCACCTGTCTTTGGGAGAGCAGGTTTGCACTGTGTGTTAGGTGTGGATGCTCTGTAAATACCTGGTCTTTACTTATTCCCAGGAGCTCTGTCAGCCCAGTTTCTCTTCAAATGACCCATGATAGCCACTCCTGCCAAAAAATGACAGGGGAAAGGGGGATCTTCTCTTTCACTCGGAGTATTTTTAAGCATCACCACGTATTTGTCCCCACGATGATTGTAAATGCACTTCCAAAGTTGTAGCTTCCTTTTTAAAGTGAGTTTATTTTGCAGCTTCTCGTCTTAGCAGTGTGAAAGTTCCCAAACCTCTATTTAAAACTGATATATTAAATATTTCAAAAAATTGTTCTCCAAATCCTTCAGCGTGGGAGAGGTGAGCTTAGGAAACCTTGCTCTGTGCCAAAGTTTGGATAAGACAGGATGTAATAAAAGCAGAGATCTGGCTGAGTGCTGTAACCTCTCCTGTAATTCACTACACCACTCAGCTGCCTTTTAAGAAAAATCTGGAAAATCTGTGCTTTTACTGGATTCTGAGCTTTGCCACCAGCTATGGCAGCGTTTATAATTTAAACTTTCACAAGTTTAAAAATAACCTATTAATTCCATGTAAGTGGTTTTAGATGTGTTGTAAATCCTAAATGACTGCAGTTAAGATCTTGTTTTATGTTAATGCTTTGCCTTTTTTTTTTTTTTTCTTTAAATTGGATTTTATTCCAGAGTCCTGGTGTACTTGGTGTTGAAATTAAGACTTCTAAGACTCTATCCCTGTTTTTCAGTCGTGGAAAACCCGGGACGTGAAAGGAAAACTGGAAAAATTGGGAGGGTGTCTGAGAAGTCAGACAGGGCAGATGTAGGAAGAAGTTTTGTAGGATTTATTCCCAGTTTGCAAACTCTGTGTTCCAGTTTGATTTTAGGAGAGATCGTGATTTAAGACTCAGTCTGTTGGTGGCTTTGTGAAAACTTCAGTCACTGCAGCACCTGAGCAGGGAGCAGGAGCCAGTGTTGCTATTCCAGCAGCGGGAGAAGGAGTTCCTTGCTTGGGAGGAGGGAATTACTGGTGTCCAGTTGTGTAGAGTGGAAGCAGAGGGATGGAGTGATTTGCCCAGTGTCGGGAAGAGCTCTGCCTGAAGTGCCAGACGTGAGGTTAAATCCATTAGCCTGAACGTATCCTCTAATGGCATTCGGTAACATGATCCCTAAATGTAAGCCAGTTCTTACAGAGCAATGTCTGGGATACTTTGGGATGGATTTTGGTGCAGGTGTGAAAGGAAAATGTGGTGCAGTAGTGCAGGTTCTGCCGTGTTTGAGTCATGAAGTATTTAAAATACTTCCCATTTGGGGCCAGTTGCTTGTTTTAATCTTCTTTAAATGGGAACAAGAGTCTCAGGATCTGGGTATTAAATGCATGCTCTAAGGCTGGCAGAGTTAATGCCATCTTTGCTAATGAAATTAGTACAAATTGATTGATTTTGTGAAAAGTTATGTTCTTGCTGATTTACAGACGTTTCTGTACTAACTCTTCCAGTATATTAAGATCTAGTTTGTTTTAAACATTTAAACTTATTCATAGGCACAAAGTTGATGCAAATACTGGATGTAGATTCATGTATGTTAATCCTGCTACTAAGAATTTAGGATTGAAGTAAATCTTATAGTACTCTGCAGGGTTTATGATATATAATAGTGACTTGGACTGAATTCTGTTTGTAGGAACTTTTATGTTTAGAAGTCCTCTCATACCTGAAAAGAAAATTTGGCCCATGGTTATCTTTTCATAAATGGTGTTGTGTGGGAGCTACTTTTTTTTTCCTCTCCTCCTCACTCTCCCTATTTTAGTCTGGGTTTTTTTTATTTACATAGTTTAACTTTCCTCAGGAAATTAATTA